CGCTCTCCATGTTTGGAATACCATGCGAGAACACAGTTGCGTACGAATCGCCAAAGATTGCGATACTTTAACGCGTAATAACTTACGTCGAGAGATAAACGAAAACCACGCACTGAAGCTTTTCCTCTGAACGGAATGCTGCATCACGTTCAAGTAGTGAGCCAATTTTTGGCGTTGGGTGATTTGTTGCTTGGCTACTGCTTTCCATTCGAAAAAATAGCGTGTGTTTAAACGTTTCAACCGGAACGTGAAAACGCGAATACTTGCGTGTTTTTTCCACTTTTGCAGCGAAATGAAAGTCTGCCAAGCGCGGAAAGCTTTGAACTGAAGCCGTAAATGCATGTGCGTTAGTGCATTTCGCATCCGTGATTTAACCACAATAGTATGAGCGACGTGCCTCATCCAACATAACCAAACGCGCTTCAGTAACTGCGTTTCAGCAAATGCAGCAGACATTATCACCATCGTTTTCTCCATTATCCCAGTCGCAATAAACCGTTTCCACTGCATCACACATCGACGTTGTGTACTCTTCAGTACTTTGCCTTGAATCTGTTCCTGGAATCCATGAAGAATCTGTCGAGACTCTCGTGAACGAATCCAAGCAGTCCAGTAACGCTGCACTGTTCGCCGCTTACAGAATCTCGAGATGAAGAGCAACTTTCGCCACACGTACCATATTTTCAGCATCGTAGTCATCCGTACTCTAATCTGTATCGTATTTTCACTTGCTCGAAGTTTTCTACTGTGATTTCTGTGGTCCTTTAAGGCGTTAAAACATCGATACGTAGTCTGCATTCGCCATCGAGCTACGAGTTTTCCACAAACGGCACGAAAATGCTGGCTCTTCTTGGACGATTGGTACCATAAATCCAACGTTTTCTTTAGTCGACGGCTTTGGTATTGAATATCAGCACGTAGCAACATTTCTTGGCGCTGTTTATCGACTTTATGGGCGAGAATTAACGCGTTCCAAGCCTTTCGGAGGAATGCGTTCTTCCAGCATAACGTCGCGGTTAGAGTTTTAGCTGTCCTCTCGCGTTTTATCTTGCTGTACTCTATCCAGCCACGCCAAGCTGCAGGGAGGAGTTTGTTCTGGAGATACCGTAACGTAACAATTCGAGTTTTTCGCGATAATGTCGCCATTTTCCTCCAGCGTGAAAAAATCATTAAGATTTGATTGCCAGATATTGTCAATCTGAAGAGCTGAGCTTTTTGACGGATATTCCGTAGATATGTTTGCCCTTGAACAAACAATTGCAGTGATTTCATTCCTTTCTGCATCCGACTGAAACGCAAGAATGACAAAGATTGATGTCGAATTCTGATATTTTTCTCGGCATATATGTGCCAAGCTGCGAAGACTCGAGAGGCCGCTTTCACATCGCATTTTGTAGATAATATCTGCAAGATAGATTTCAGATTTTTAGTCTGTTTGCTCCAGGAATGCCAAGCTCGGAACGACGAACAGAGAAGAAGAACCTGAAGCCTCTCAGTGTTGATCTGTAGCTGATGGCGATGGTAGATGATCCCGGAGGCGTTCGTTTTCCACTCCGTGAAGCTGTGTTGTAGCAACTTTTGCTTGTACACGACACGTGCGATGGTTCTTTGGATTCTCTTAGTTTTCTCCGTCGCTGTAAATTGTCGCCACTCACACACTAACGCAGCGAGAAGACGAAGACGTGATGAGTGATAGAGCTCCAGAATCCGTTCACGTCGTAAGCGAATACATGTCGCTGCTTGTCTCCATGTCTTGAACGCGTGTTGATACACTCGGTTAGCGTGAAAATATCGGATTTTTAGAGTTAGAGATCTCTTACTGATAGAGGACACTCTAAACACCTGCCAGAGTTTCCATACCCGCTTTAACTTGTTCACAACGTTCATCTTACTGATTTGTCGCTTTTTATTCTGCTGTTGACAGAAGCGCTTCCAGCCACCGAAATATCGACCACACTGCATCTTGAGCCACCATTCCATCGCCTTTAGGGTGTGCACCCTAATTTGCTTCCAT